TACTACAAATATCAATGCTAATCCTTATAACAAAAAAAAAAAAATTATACATTTATCATCCAGTGAGTAAAACCCTTGCATACCTCAAGGCATGCAATGAGAAACTCCCAAGTTCAGTTGAACACATGCATGAAAAAGCATTCAAAATGAGCATATAGCTAAGATAAGTATAACATAGTTAGGATACATTGCAGAAGGGTGACATATTTTCATAATGTAAATTGAATGTTAATATGAAAATCCAGTCCAAATTATTCTTCTGTAAATTGATCATGCATGTTAATTTTTTCTGAAATCTTTGAATTCATGAGATGCCTATGGTAGATGGTCTTATAAAATATTAAGAACACCCAAATTAAGGAGGTGGATTCTTATACATACCACATAATCTTCATAATTTTGTATATCTATCAATTAAATCTTTATTTTTGCTTATATAATACTATAATATCTCATTCAAGTAGATAAATACCACCAATATTGATTTTTCTATTGTCAAATACAAATATTTCTATGTAATTTAGATACTAATTAGGAGTTATGCAAATAAAAATTAACTTTCAAAAGTTAAATAAATAAATAAGTATACACACACCCACCCACACACACACACACACACACACGCACGCACACACACACTAGCGCCACGTACTCAAATCAGCTAGTCAGTTGTAAGTCCCCTCTTGTCAGGGGTTCGAATCCCCCTGAGTGTAGGGTGTTGTACTCGAATTCTTAGGCGCATGAGAGATGCTTGGGGCTTGTTTAATACCCTCCGACCATTCCTTACTACTACTACTACTACTACTGCTACTAAAAATGTGGTATGTGATATTCAATAAAAATAATACAATTTTGAAATCAAATGTGTATACCCCAAAATTTTTAGCATAAATCTCAAAACAATTAGACAGCCAATGACAACGACCGAGAAATCGAAGCAACAAGTTGAGGGAGCACGGTCTGAACTAATTGTTCGACGACCAACCACTCTACCAGGCCGGCAGAGCCACGTTGTTAAGGGATTCAATCCACGGACTGCACTTGCGCTCCCAGCTACCCGGTTTTTTTCAGGGAAGCCCATTCACAACCAGTCGATTGCCAGCTTTGCTTGGCAGGAGAGATTGCCACACAACTGCTCGTCTTGGTCGACCAAACTAATTGTATCGATCGGCTAATGATTGTTGTATTAAACTATGACAACACGAATTTTGTATTAAATTAACGCATTAACTGTATTAAGAGTAATTTTCATAACTGGTCTCTCATTTCGGTAATTAAGGGTGATTACTATAATCGCTCACTCCTTTTTGTAATTATACAAAAAATCTCTTTATAAATAGGAGGTCGAAAGATGAATAAATGAACTTCCCCCCGACTCCTCTCTCGAGGGTTCTTTGTCGGCTTCTCTTCCTCTCTCTTCTACTCTTCTTCATCCAGCTCCAACTCTCAAAACATGTTTTATTTGAATGTCAATTTATGATTTAACAATACCTAAATCTCAAATTTATGGAAGATATTTAATAAATATCATATATAACGAATTTCACTTTTCAGATTTGAAATGAATATATGAATAATATTGGAGGTGTATGATTTCACACGGAATTTAAGTCTAATGTGAAAACTTATGATCACAAACACAAATCATATACTTCACAATTTGTAATTAAGAAAAAAAAAATCATATGAATTTTTTCTTCTTATCTATATTACTACAAATATCAATGCTAATCCTTATAACAAAAGAAATTATACATTTATCATCCAGTAAGTAAAACCCTTGCATACCTCAAGGCATGCAATGAGAAACTCCCAAGTTCAGTTGAACACATGCATGAAAAAGCATTCAAAATGAGCATATAGCTAAGATAAGTATAACATAGTTAGGATACATTGCAGAAGGGTGACATATTTTCATAATGTAAATTGAATGTTAATATGAAAATCCAGTCCAAATTATTCTTCTGTAAATTGATCATGCATGTTAATTTTTTCTGAAATCTTTGAATTCATGAGATGCCTATGGTAGATGGTCTTATAAAATATTAAGAACACCCAAATTAAGGAGGTGGATTCTTATACATACCACATAATCTTCATAAATGTGTATATCTATCAATTAAATCTTTATATTTACTTATATAATACTATAATATCTCATTCATGTAGATAAATACCACCAAAATTGATTTTTCTATTGTCAAATGCAAATATTTATATGTAATTTAGATACTAATTAGGTGTTATGCAAATAAAAATTAACTTTTAAAAGTTAAATAAATAAATAAGTATACACACACCCACCCACCCACACACACACACTAGCGCCGCGTATTCAGATTAGCTTGTCAGTAGTAAGTCCCCTCTTGTCGGGGGTTCGAATCCCCCCGAATGTAGGGTGTTGTACTCGAATTCTTAGACGCATGAGGGATTCCTGGGGCTTGTTTATTACCCTCCGACCATTCCTTACTACTACTACTACTGCTACTAAAAATGTGGTATGTGATGTTCAATAAAATTAATACGATTTTGAAATCAAATGTGTATACCACAAAATTTTTAGCATAAATCTCAAAACAATTAAACGACCAATGACGACAATCGAGAAATCGAAGTAACAAGCTGAGGAAGCACGGTCTGAACTAGTCGTTCGACGAGCAGCCACTCTACCAGGCCGGCAAACCCACGTTGTTAAGGGATTCAATCCACGGACCGCACTTGCGGTCCCAGCTACCCAGTTTTTTTCAGGGAAGCCCATTCACTACCAGTTGATTGCCAGCTTTGCTTGGCAGGAGAGATTGCCACGCAATTGGTCGCCTTGGTCGACCAAACTAATTGTATCAATCGACTAATGATTGTTGTATTAAACTATGACAACACTAATTTTGTATTAAATTAACACATTAACTGTATTAAGGGAAGTTTTCATAACTGGTCTCTCATTTCGATAATTAAGGGTGATTACTATAATTGCTCGCTCCTTTTTGTAATTATACAAAAAGTCTCTTTATAAATAAGAGGTCGAAAGATGAATAAATGAACTTCCCCCCCGACTTCTCTCTCAAGGATTCTTTGTCTGCTTCTCTTACTCTCTCTTCTACTCTTCTTCACTCAGCTCTAACTCTCAAAACATGTTTTATTTGAAAGTCAATTTATGATTGAACAAGTCCTGTATCTCAAATTTATGGAAGCTATTTAATAAATATCATATATAACGAATTTCACTTTTCAGATTTGAAATGAATATATAAATAATATTGGAGGTGTATGATTTTACACAGAATTTAAGTCTAATGTGAAACTTATGATAACAAACACAAATCATACTTTACAATTTGTAACTAAGAAAAACAAAATCATATGAATTTTTTCTTCTTATCTATCTGGTACCAATATTTATGCGTCTGACCAAATTATATTTTGAACCATTATTAATTAACTAAGCATTGAATAATATTTCACACATCTATTTTTCAAATATTTTATAAATAAGTAAAATTATATACATGAAAGCATATGAAAATTTAATATATGTTTATTAATCTAAAAAATAAATTAGCCTAACTTTTACTTCTTGGTTAGGGTATAAATGAGTCAAGCCGACTCATAAGCCGGCTCAAGCTCGACTCGATAAGTAGCTTGTGAACTGAGCACTGAGAGCTAACAAGCAAAAGTCAAGCTATCCCTAACTCGACTTGTTAGCTCGTGCGCCGACTTGTATTCAAAATAAACTAAATTTGATGAATTTATCTTTAAGATATTAAAAATATTTTTTTAATGCTTGCTAGAAAATCCGAATTTGTAGAGTAACGAATTATCGTCTTAGCGTTGTACGAGAATTCAACACAAACGGATGAAAGAGAAACAAACAGAGACAACTCTAGAAATTTTTACGTGGAAAACCCAGAAAAGGAAAAACCACGGGGACTGACTCAGTCGTGAAGATCCACTAAGATCCACTATTGTATCCACTATTGTTTGATGATTACAGAAATCTCTTATCTCATAGACGGGAAATGATAGCTATATTTTTCTAATTACAGCGTTGATTGCCGGCGTCTGGTTTGTGGTGATTGACGAAGGTTGGCGGTAGTCAACGACGGTCGGCGGTGATCAGCGGTGATCGATGGAGGGCGGCGGTGGTCTACGGAGGTCAGTGGCGAGGGGCGATCCCCGACGGTCAGTGGTGGTCGACGGCGACCGACTACGATCTATGATGACAAGGATGATGTGGGACCTGAGCTTCTTCTCAAAACCTCAAGTTCTCTCTCCATCCTTTCCCCCCTCACGACCGACTACGATCTATGATGACAAGGATGATGTGAGACCTGAGCTTCTTCTCAAAACCTTAAGTTCTCTCTCCATCCTTTCCCCCCTCACGTGAGGGGTGGGGCTTTATTTATAGTTTTATGGGTTTAATTAATGCAGATATATGAATCATTTTGATTGGACGGTCCGGAGAGCATCCCTCAATTAGATGACGTTTGATGGACATTTGAGTGTGTTAATGATGCCAGAATTGAGCAATCTCGAGTTCGTTAAATTCGAATTGTCAAGATGCTCGATTCAACTATAAACTATCCAAATTCGACATCCATCTGACCTTTCAAATGTGTCTGGAAATCCTTCAAGAGTTGTTTAATAATTTAATCTGGGCTTGATCTGACTTGGATTAGACCAACTTTGATATCATTAGGTATGTCTCATTGAGTTGGTTAGTTTGACTATAAGTTTGTTGAAAACGGAGCTCTTGATGACTTTTTATCAAAATTTTAATATTTTTTGCTCAAAATATTACATCGAGATTCGTGTCAGATGATAGAAATTTGTTGGTGGCATATCAAATTTTAATATTTTATTTTAAGTAACTTAATATTATTATTTTATCTAAATATTTATTATAATTATCATTTTATTATATTACTATAATAATTTAATATTATTTTATTTTTTATAATAAATAAATCCGCTAAGTCAATAGACGAGCTCGATATTGAACTCGACCTCGATAAAATTAAGATGATGGGCTCGAGCTGTCTTGTATGGGCTATGTTGGGTCCTTCACTCAACTTCTCTCGCCATTCTCGTCTCCTTCTGAAACTTCGCAATCCCTAATCCTTCTCACTCGATTCTCGTAACAAGATGGATGGTTTCTCCCGCCACCAACAACAGCAGCACGGCGGCGGGGCTTTCTGGTACGCAGCTTCCTCTCCGGCGGCCTCCCACCACCCCCCGCCGCCGCACCTGGCGCAGAACCTGCCGCTCCCTCCCCATCCCCCTAGTTACCACCATCAACCAAGCTACACAAGCCAATTACCTATCACTCCACCTCTGCAGCATCAGCCGTGGTATCATCCACCACAGCAGCCTGCGCCGCCGCTCGCTGGCCCACCGCCGAACTACCCTCCGCCTTATCACAGCCAACCCGGCCTACCACCCCCTTATCCTCAACCTCAGCACCGCTATCCTCCTCCTCCTCCTCCTCCCCCTCCTGCTCAGCCCCATCCCATGGCTGCTCCTCCTGCATATCCTCCCTCCGTTCAGGTGAATTATTTATTAGCTGCATATCCTCCCTCCGTTCAGGTGAATTATTTATTAGTTATTATTAGATATTTTAAATTGGTAAGATCTGGGAACTCGAATGAAATTTGAATAAAGTGAAACATAGGTACTAAAAGGAGAGTATAAACCTTTATCATTGTATTGTTGATTGGAAGAGAAGTTGCTTCAGGAGATTAGATCAGAGGTTGGCATAAATGAGAAATTTGATGATTCAGACCCATTAACTTTTGTATATTTTTAACTTTTTCTGTGGGAACCGGTGCAAGAACCTCTGATCATTTATCTGTTTGGAAAACTGTGCTCTTTAGTTTGCTTTCATGGCTTCCCATATTTACCCCCGTAATATTCTTTGCTGCTTGTTATTAAAATGGAAAATCTGAGGCGGGACTGTGGTCTTCCATTGAATACACTTTGTTGAGGGATGAAACAGTAGATAGTTTGATTGGTGTTCCCTGACCAGTTAAGTACTCTATCTGCCAATTAGGGACTTTGAGTTTTGAGGAAAAGGTGAACGATTACCTATGGGATGATAAGTACTTTGCTGGAATTGGCTAGTTTTTATTTTGAAGATGTTGAAGAATATTAAGTACTTACCTTGGAAATAATAGAAGAATTAATTAAGATGGTTTCTGCCTTGGTTGTAGGATTTACAATGGAAAAGAACCATTTTGTATTTAAAATGTTTAGATTAGTATTCTTCGGAACTCAGGGCTGTATTGAAGTTGAAAGGAACGAATGGCTCAAAGGGGCTAAATTGCATAGAACTTTAAGTTATATGGTTGAAATATGTTCGATTGCAGCTTAGCATATGTGTTGGATTATGTCTTTGTGGTAGATATCATGTTTGGATAATCAATTTTATATGATTAGTATTCACATGCTAAAATGTTTTGTACTCATTTCTTTGGGCAGCTGTGTTCTCTGAGATTCAATATTTTCATATTTCAAGCATTTATTATGTAGGGAAATTAACATATATATTTTCCCTTTCTTTCTTTTCGTTCTAATTTTGTCATATGCTTGTAGGCATGGGGGAACCCCTCTTGGCAAAATCATCAATTATGGGAGTACCCAGGTTGGTTGCCTACAGTTTTTCTTTTTTACAACACAGTCCTCGACCTCTTTCTCTCTCTCTCTTGGCACACACACACACCCACACACACACACATATATCTATATATATATATAGATTTGCATTTTTAATAAATTATATCTATACTTCTTTCAACTACCCTATATGAAGGAATCAACACTTACTACTAAAACTTATGATGGCAATACAAGTAAACTTAGATTTTAGTTGATGATTTAAGATCTTGCTGATTTATTCTTTGGTTTGAAGTTGGATCAAATTCATTAAAAAATGCAACTGAAAGCTATAATCAGCCAAAAATTTGCACTTTTAGATCGACATTGGCTGTACGGTAGCAAATACCATGCAATAAATGACTAAGAATTAAGATGAAGTTTATTTGATCTTTTGTTTTTTATTTTGGCTAAGGAATCAATAATGTAAAAGTGGTGAATAGCTGATTTGGCCAAGTGATTACTAGGTTCCCAAACCCAATTAGAAAACATCAACTTTTGTACTTATGTTTGTATGTGTTACAAACATGCAAATCTATAACTACACAAGACATGCATGAAACATGGTTATATAGTTCTTTCTTTCATATCCTTTTAAAAGAGTAGACTTCTCTATCCTTTCAATTAATTTTAGTCCTGGAGTCAAAAGGAAAAATAAAATACTCTCTAGTTGATCTAGAACATAAAAGCTACTCTGTAACTTTTGATTTTTATTACTATATGTCTAGCAGATCAAATGTAACCAAAAGAAAGACTTTGGCAACAATTATTGGCTTCTACTTTGTATCATTTGAATTTTTTAGAAGTTGCTCTAAATGTTTTACTTTGCTTGTTAAGAAAACTTTAATCTGATCGTAGTGCTTAAATGGATAAATTACTAACGACACTATGAATCATCAGCCGGCTATTTTTCTGATGTTGGTGGTGTTGGATGAGTTTACTTAAGCTTGAGATGAGTTTACTTAAGCTTGCAAAAGTTTAGGAATTCGGCTTCCCATATTTTTGATGATATTCATAAGGATAAGTGATCTTTCTGTCTTATTTTGCTTGGTATTTTTTATTTAGAAGATCAAAAGTTGAAATACTAGTAATTTTTTTAATCTTAATGAAACTAGGAAACTTTATAGGCATTAGTAAGCTTGCATAAAAGCATTCAAGTACATATGTGGTGCTCATGTAATTGTGTAGCAGGCTATTCTTCAGTTTATTATTTTCAGTTCTTTTTGTTGGATCCTATGCGAATAGTGAAACACTCAATACATTATCATGCCCAGTGTAGTTCATTTTGGCATGTCAGCATCATAGCTCATGATAAGATTTCAAGTTCTAACATAGATGCTATACTTTTGTACCTTTGGTCAGGTATGATATTGATGGATTCATCTTAGAAAATGGTTTGTAAAATAATTCTTTTCATACATCTCATTTTATATCTCTTGCGTTTACCAATTGACCTTATGCATGCTCTTATTGGAAGTTAGTGTCAGTTTTATGTTGATGAATATGATGGCTGTTTTCTCTAGTTTTTAACTGTGATGTTAATTACAGATAGAAACATTCACTATGGTAGTGAGGAAGATTGGGAGGCAAAGGCGAGAGCATGGGCTTCTTCTGATTCAATGAACGAAAACCATCATGGACGTTCACAGTTTACCCCACTTGGGAGGATGGATGAGCATGAATACGCCTATCGTGATCATTTGCCAAAATTTGTTGCTCCTGCTGTCGATACCCAACTACCGCTACTTCTGCAATCGAGTAACAGCTGTTAACTGTTTGCATGATGGATCCTATGAGAAAGGCAAAGCATTTTCATTGTTTCTGATGATCGAGTTTTGTTTTTCTTTCGTGTTGGTCAGATGGACGAGCTTCTTACAATGAACATGAAACCGAGACCAGGGAAAGCAGCCATTTGATTTCCCCACCGAGAAGCTATTATCCAAGTTCATCCATATATGAGCAGGAGGTACCTTATACTTATTCTTCCTCACAAGGTAATGGTTCAGTTAGCATTTGGATTTTATTGTTGAAAGCATTAGAATCTGCAAGAGGTGCTTGGTTTTTCATTTTCCCATGATAATGAATTATGCCAAGACTTTTATGCTAGCTATTTTGAATGCATGAAAACATATTTTTGGGGGTGTTTTCATCTTTTATGTTAGGCTAATCGTCTTGTTTATATGAAGGATCATTATGAATTGTTTGAATCAAACACCTTAATATTTGATCTAATCTTACTTTTTTATCAACTTAAGATCGTGATAAGTTGTGTTCAGATACTAGAATGTTATAATTGATTTTTGTCATTTTGCTTACCTTGCTTTATGGCTTTGAAGGTATAATAATTGCAAACCATCTTAAAACGTCTAGGAAGCTTTCTTTTTGACTTTTTACTAAAAAAGGCTTGATCCCATTACAAAAAGCTAAGTAATTGATGACTACCCCATGCGAAGCTATTTTTCTTTCTCATGCTTTTGCTGTATTAGATTATAACCCCTTTTCTCTGGATACTATAATGATGGCGACCATTTGGCCTACTTTTAGAGTTAGTTATGTGATGTTCATTGAATCCTTGCTATGTTGTTAGTTTATGGCATTTCTTGTTTTTTTATCATGTCATTTGAATTGCATTCATCTTTATGTTTGTTTTATTTGTTAATGGTTCATTTTCATTTATGATTGATTTGCTTTATTTTTTAATTGTCATAGGATTGCCATGTGGAATGGGATTGACTGCTATAAAGAGTAGTTAGGATCATTCAATTAGAATATTGAGATGATCAATGTAATATTATGATTTTTGGCTGGCCTGCCTATTGTACCCAATCCAAGTTAGTTTTGAGGACATCACAATTATTTGATCTGTATGATAGAGGCAAATTAATAACGTAGGCGAGTCCAACAAATTGAATAAGATAGTTTTAGTCACCAAGTAGAGTTTTCAATTGTCTCAAAAGTTATTTAGTGGAAGAAGTTGACGAGGTAACGATCAAACAAGGGTGATAAGGGCGCTGAAAGGCTACACATGACAAAGATTGATTGACATGTTGTTGCTTTTTTATAGCTAAAGATTCCTCATGTGCCTATACATAAGGTAAATGAGAAAGAAGATGGTTGAAATGTTCATACCAGGAATCTTAAGTGAAATATTATTTTTGATTATGCCCCGTATCTGGCATTACACTTTCCTCTTAACATGGCCTTAGTCACTCTATCTTATACTATTCAAATCATCCCCTCTCCAAGCTCCTCAAGTAATTCTAATATTTAATTTAGATGAAGGATGTGGTGAACCTATTCACAATGTTGATATTGTGATCTATATGTAAAACTAGGATAAAATAATCATTCTTTTAATTTAGATCGTTGTATTCTAATGTTTTATGGGAGAACCGTAAAATAAGTTGTGGTATAATTGAATTTGGAACGTGTTGAGGTCCAATTTGTGGGCAAGGTCTAATGCTTTGATACTAGGTATGATCTAGAATAACGCAGCTAGTTTCCAACTCTTTTACTTGTCCATAGTGAATCAGACGTTATGATGTATGGGTCCCTTGGAATCATAACAAAGGAAAATAGCACATAGCGTGCACAATTTATTTTAAAATAGAGCTACCGAAACTTACATAATTCAACATGATGAGACATGAGAGAACATGTACCTTAAAAGCATAATTTTTCATTAGTATGTCATCTCATTGTTTAAATTTAACATATATTTGATTTAATGAATGATATAAGGTGGAAAATAAACTATCTGAAAAAACAAAATAATTAAATGAGCAAAAGAAAATATCAAGATTGCGGTAATACATAATGTTAGCTAAATACAGAATATTGGAGTTCGGCTTTCATAAACTAAGATAACTATAAATTTTCTTAATGGAATACGTATGCTTAAAACATAAGTGATAGATTACTTACAAATCCCATGATCAATCCAGAAACTAAATAAATGTCTTCGCAAGTATAATAATTATGAACCAAGATAGCCTCATCTTTGTCATTGTTATCAATTCCTACATTTTTGTCTTCTTCATCGTTGCATCTTATTTAACCAAAATAACCTCTTGTCGTAACATCTCGTTATTTGAGCATAATAGTCTTACATTATGCCTTATAACTAAAGTACAAATAGAATACTTGATTTAATTGTCTTTGTCTTGCACCAATATAATGCATGCAATTTTACTCGATGCTTTATGTGTTACAGTGCTTACTATTGTGCCATATTTAACGTTTTATAATTTTGAAATCCAAGCTTTTAATGATAGAGTTTGAAACCTTTTTTTTTTTTGGGATAGGAGAACACTCAAGCATGAGATCTTTGAGTTTAGGAGAAACTGCCCCACATTTTGACACTTAATTTGATCGTGTATCTTGAGAATAAAAGATTCAAAATTTTCAATCATAAACCAATAATGCTTGGTCGACATTGATGGCTATGTGGTCTTAACCTTTGCAAACCTAATCCTAATTATGCTGTCCACAGCTTAGGGTAATATCAAAGGTAATATTAAGGTTCCCTAGAAGGCTTCTCTTGGTGGAGGATGATCAATGCATAAATGGCATAAAGTATATTTATTAGCATTTTCTAAGTAATATCAACCAGAGATAAAGCTTATGAAGAAACTAGAACTAGATGTGTAGATTAAACTTGGGTTTTTGATTTTGTTTTGAAAAGTTGAATTGTTACTTGGAATGTCTTTTTGAAGAATGAATCAAAATTACTGAGTTGGATGAGGATGGCGAGAAGAAAACATTAAAGTGAGTGGATGCTAAATAGGAGAGTTGTGATGGAAGATTTGCTCCTATTTTTGAACTATTTGCTAAATGAAAAGCTACCCAAAGGTATATGGAGATTGAAAACATTTCTTTAGTGTTTCTGTGGTGCCAAATGGTCCCCATTGATTACATTATATATAACATTATATGACAACTTGAACTCATATTTTGCACAAGTGTAAATTTTGAAATTTATCTTATTTACCCAATGATCGTTATGAATGAAAATAATTAATTAATTTTGTTGAATTTGTGTCAACATAGATTCCATTGATCATTTCTCTTGGGAAATTGTATGAAATTATACGGTTTATGCTAAGTGAGGTTAAATGCTCCAATTCTAAATGTTGACACGAGTTTATGCTAAGCGAGCTTATGAGCAAAAACCTCTGTCATATAATTTACCAAAGGGCAAGATCAATGAAATCTTCGTTGCATATTGTGAATAACTGCAGGCTTCTGATTGGATTATAGTGGATGATGAATGACATAGTCGATAAATGCCTATACCATAAATTAACTCTTTTGCTCATCTTAACAACATGTTCAACTTCTTGTTGAAAATTTGATCAATTATACTTTAGCTTCGAGCTTATCCTTGTTAGTGTATGTTTTCCTGAGTGATTGCCTCATTCTTTTTATGGGTTTCTTTTAATTGTAGGGGTAGATGCATTTTAGGTACATTATTGATTAAGATTTTTTTAAGAGGAATCGGTTTGAGATGGAGTGTGTGTTACATCTATGCCTAATTTAAAGACAAGTTTATCTTTTGTATGCTTAAGGGCAATTTAGTCTTTTATTATTATTATTATTATTGGGTATAAATAGGCTTATTATGTTTAGGATTAGGTTTTATGCATGAGATTGGATTGTGAGTCTTAGGTATAGGGTTTGAGAGAGATTTCTTACCTCTCGAATTGTGGGAATTGGGAGAGATCGTCTGTTTCTCGAATTGTAGGTGTTTATCTTTGTATTCTTGTTGAGTTGTTTAGATTATTACACTAAAATTGTGATTGCCCTAATTTCTGCGAAAGACATTTCGATTTTTGATGTCGGATCGTATCAAATTGGTATCAAAGCAATATTTCTAAAAAATGATGCTTGGGATCAGGAGATTGGGTGATAGTTACGATTTTATCTAGGAAGGATTGCAACGTGAGAAAGGATCATGACATACAAAAGATTCAGTGACTTCACTTTGAGAAACAGTCGTGATTGGAAGGAATAATTGCGGCAAACCAAGACCCGAAACTCCTTGTTTCTTTGTGATCGCAACGCACGGGACTCACCTTCGTGACCGGACCCTACGATACAGTTACAATCAGACCTAGTGGGAAGCTGCTCCTGGAGACCCGAAACTCACTTCTTTCCGCTTCGTATTCGCGTGAGGTAGTTACCATCAGGCTACTACGGGATTGCGGCTCACGGTGAAGCCGCAACTTTTCTCCTCGTGATTCTCTTATAACGGACAAGGGATCATGTCTTTCTTCTCCTTTTGCTTGAGATCGTCATGTGAGGAAGCTTGCATCTTGCAGTTGTTTCCAGTGATCATAGTGCACGACTTTGATGTAGAGGAAAGCGATGAACTGTGTGAATCAGGGTTTGCAGGTTGCTGACGGTGGGATTGTCGCGCGCCTCGTGCGATACAATCAAGATTCACGTAGCTGGTAAGCAATGTCGGGATTTTGGCACACAGAGTGACCAAACCCGTCATTTTTTGCAGTGCAAACTCAGAAATTTCGAAATTTTTCGGTGGGTTGTTTCAGAACACAATTTCTTCGGATTCCTTTGTTAGATCACAGTTTTGCAGCACTGGATGTTGCAATTTAGACTGTTTGGAAATCATTAGCGGCATTTCCGCGTACTGAGGATTCTGCCTTTTGTGATCGAAAATTTTGTGGGAGTAATGGTAGTCAAGAAAATAGACAATTTGGAGAAGAAATTGAAGAAGAGGTGGGGCAACTTGAATTTGAGATGGAAGAAAACTTTGTCACCATAAAAAATAAGTTTTATTCCATAGAGAGCCGAATGGAGGACGAATTTGAGAGCATCAGGAAAATGCTAGAAATGATGAAGAAGATAATGAAATTTCACACAAACAGGCTCCCCTCATCATGCAGTTGAGAGACGATGTCGAGAATGAACTCCAACAACAACAATTAAAAAAATTCGCACGATATAAGGGCAACGTCACAACTTTAGATGGATCGGGAGTTGTGGCATTGTGCAAGGAAACCCAGTGCGGGCTCGAGCGACGACTCTTTGAAGAAATAATATGACATTCAGATGACTTGGACAAATAAATGCAAGCAAGATTAAAGTCGAAAATAATATGACATTCAGAGATGGAAGAGAGACAGAGTTCTCAGAGATTTTGGTTATTGGTAAGCCATGGGGGAGTTGTTTTAGGCTGCGATAGTCTCTAAGATTGATTGGAAATCATGCCACCAACCAATTCAGATGCAGCCGGATGTGCACATGACTTTATTTCGAACTTCTGTGGGTCACTATGAATTCCTCATTATATAGAAAAGATGGTCAGATAATGACGCCAAGTAGAAGCCACCTGAGTTGATTAAGTAGTATTCTAATTTTTCTCACCTTGAGGACAAGGTGTCTTTTTGGGGGGGGGGGAGTATTGTTACGTCTATGCTTACGTCTATGCCTAGTCTAAGAGCAAGTTCGTCTTTTGTATGCCCGAGGGCAATTTTGTTTATTATTATTATTATTATTATTATTGTTGTTGTTGCTGTTGAGTATAAATAGGCTTATTATGTCTAGGGTTAGGTTTTATGCATGAGATTGAATTGTGACTCTAAGGTCTAGGGTTTGTGAGAGATTTCCTACCTCTCGAATTATTGAAATTGGAAGAAATTGCCTACCTCTCGAATTGTAGGTATTTATCTTTATATTTTTTTATTTTTATTGAGTTATTTGGATTATTACACTAAAATTGTGTTTGCCCTAGTTTCTGCGAAAACCTTTTTGATATTTGATGACGGATCGTATCAGTGTGTTCCCACCATATTGTTACATCTATGCCTAGTCTAAGGGCAATTTTGTTTATTTTTATTATTATTGTTATTATTAGTGTTGTTGAGTATAAATAGGCTTATTATGTTTAGGGTTAGATGTTATGTTTAGGGTTAGGTTTTATGCATGAGATTGGATTGTGACTCTTAGATCTAGGGTTTAGGAGAGATTTCCTACCTCTCGAATTGTAGGTGCTTATCTTTGTATTTTTGTTAGGTTATTTGGATTATTACACTAAAATTGTGTTTTCTCTAGTTTCTGCGAAAGACTTTTTGATTTTTGATGTCGGATCGTATCAGTGTGTTCTTACCGTAAGGTATAAATTTTTTTTTGCATTATTGTTACTGGATAGCTTACCAGTCATCAAATAATTGAGGACTCTAATGAACCAATGATTGAGATGATAAATTTTTATTGAGCCGAGCTGAGCTTGTTGATGGTAGGTGAAATCAATTCTAATTGATGTAGTTTGAAGATTTACATATTTGCCTACAAATCTTTTTGTTGGTTTGCTTTCTTTAGGATACCCATACAAGTAATGTCTTAAAGTTGGAATGGTTGCCTTCACCTTTCTCTAGTTTAAGTTACAGTTGCCCCCCTAACATGTCCCAAAATCTAGTTTGGAATTGTTGAAGATTAAAACATCTGATGAGTGTGAATCCTAGTTTTGTGAGTACTATTTTATATACTGTTTATTTATTTATTGCATTAAATTTGTGTTAGAGAGCATTAAAAAAATTGTTTTTTCAAGACCCTTTAGGCTGACACCACCAGTTTGCATACATTAGCAGTTTATGTCCATGCGGAATTTCACTGCCATGGATGGTGAAGAGTAAACAAAAAAAAAATACTTAAAGTTGAGTGTTTCATAACTATCCTTGGCATGTAATCTAGCTTGTACTCATTACACTTGACTAATTACTTCATTAACCTCCTTGAATGCTCAAATTGTGACAATAATTCTTTCAATGACTTTCGATGATTTCATGAATTTTATGTTTTTGGAAGTATGGTCAAGTGTTCTCAATGAGATGATGGCCTAGAGCTCAAACGCATATATTATTTTTTTTAATCTTTATATTTTTCATCCTTATCATTTTTATGGAATCATTAGGCATGATCATTATTTGTTAGATTTTTAACTAGTCTACAGATTTAATTTAGAAAGTTTAGTGGTTATAAGTTTTTCTTTTGGTGTTTCAATATTATCCAATCACCGGATCAAAATTAATGATTTTCAATGTTGTGTATACTGTCATACATGTTTGTAAACTAGTGTTAAATACTAGTATGTCGGTATTCTTCTTTGACCAAGATTCATTCCATTGACAAGTAAGATATTATTTTTTTTATGCCTGCCATCTGCTTCAAGTACTGGAAAATGTGTACAAGATGTTTTGGTGATTTTTTTCATGGATTGATAATTTGCAAATGCATCTCATGTTCTTTTTTTTGCACAAACATCTTATGACTAAATTTTTTGAGGTTGTGTATTAACTTGTTTAATTCATCGCCTCAGTTTGTATTTCTTGTATGGTTGGAGTTTATCAGAGTTAGATTGGTGCCATTCATTTTTGACTATTTTTTTATATATATTGTTAGGCACTATTCAATGCTTTAAAATAATTTTGGCAGAGTATGACAAATGTTGTGATATTGTTGTCTTACGCTACCAAAACCTTTTCTACACTTCAGAGTGTGCCAGCCATGTTGAAGCTCATATTTCAACTTTTGTTTTGGCTGTATTTTCTGCCAGAGGAATGCTGATGAATTGCCACGCTAATATGCTGTAGTTTTTTTAAGATATCATACTTCGTTAGGTTGACATTTTGGTGTGATTGCAGGTAGCAGAGAAGCTATGGATCACAGGGAGAGGCCACGAGAGAGCTTTCATCCTCAGTTCACAGCGCCTGTTCAATTTTCTTCAGTGGAAGAGCCTAACTCTTT